GACAATTTTTTCTTGGTAAAAATCTAAAGAATCTTTTTCCACTAGAAAGAACATTCTGAACAATGGAAAGGTTCCATAGATCTTAAAGGTTCTTTATAAAATGAAAATAAAAACCTTTGTTTTTAAGGGTTTATAGGGACATTTTCACTCATTTTATACACGGGTCAAAGACGTTAAGATGTCTGCATCAAAAGAAATGTACAAAAGTGATTATATGTCCATAAAAGCACATTAAATGTAAGTAAAGTGTCTACTTTTAAGGTTTCAAATACGTTTTTGGAGAATAAAATGTCAAAATTTGGTTGAAATAATGTTACTTCGTCATTCAGTGTAACACAATATTTATGCAAAAAGTCAAACAACATGCTTATTCTGACTTACACATATTAAAATATATAAAAGAATAAGGGAGCATATTAAATTTTATTGTGTTTTAAATGAGTAAAAAAAATCTTACTGACAAATGGGCAAAACCTAGGATAGTGGCAAATTTAAAAAAATGTAAAATTACAACTAATTAGTGTTTGGGGTGAAAGTAATTAGTCTTTTAATATGTCATTAATTTTTGTTGTTTTTTGCATGGAAAAACAAAAACAAAATTGCAATTAAATGAAACAGAAAACTTTTAAAAACATTTTGGGAAAAACAACAACAATTTAAAGCAGTATTACACTTATTGTTTTTATGCTTAAACCCTTTTTTGTCTTTGACCAAATACAAATCAACACTTTGATTGAGCTTAACTTCCCACTTTGCTGCAGTGTTTTTAAAAAATAAAAAAAATTAAATATATTTTTTTCTTCTTCAATTATGCACCCCTGATATACCCTGTATACATGTGGATTACAAATACTACAAATATAAATTAAAAATATAATTATTTTATATGGTTTGAAATCATTGAATAAATATTAAAAAGCAAGCTCCTGATGTGGACAAGTAACATTTTCTGAAGGCTACACACCTTTTTTCATAAACATCGTACAGTATTCATGGAAAGTGGCTTCTCTTTGTTTGACAGAACAAAACCGCTCTGGACTAAACTGAGCTCTTGTACAAATTACATAACACTTTTGGTAACCATAGAAACAGTGAGAAAATCAGAGCTAGAGCTCACTCTCATCAGTCACCTGAGCTCTTAACAACATGCAGTAATCTGCTGCATATAACAAACACTCGCCAAATATTTACAGCGACATAAAATTATGCATAAAGTGCAAATAAAGCATGATCATGTAACGCTTTTATCTGTCCAGTTCAAGGAACGACCTTAAAACTCAAAGACAGTTTAAACAGCTATTCATTTAATATAGCATTTGGCAACCTTTTTTAATAATAGTATACGAATGATTAATATGTCAATAATGTCCGACAAGCAAAACTGGTTGCCCAAAAATTCCAATATGAGGTAAAACCTGTTTGAAGAGGATGTCTGATCTATATATGTGATTACCTCAGGTATTCCAGAGCCGCAGGCGTACGGCGCAAACACCTTCACCAGAGACACAGCCAGGAAGGCGAAGGACAGCGCCCAAAACGTGAACATGAAGTAGTTCATTATATAGGAGCCGGGACCCTAGACCACAAAACACCAGAGCCATTAATAACACCATCACCATCCATTCATCTGTGTAAACTAAAGCATGCATTAGTGTGAGGTAGGCAAGATTTTAGAATGTTTTTGAATGAATTAAGTCTCTTCTGTTCACCAAGGCTGCATTTATTCAATTAAAAATACAGTAAAATTGTGAAATATTATTACAATTTCAAATAACTGATTTCTATGTGAATATCTTTTAAAATGTAATTTATTCCCGTGATGAAAAGCTGAATTTTCAGCATCATTCACTCTTCAGTAACCTTTTACTGAACTGAAAGACAATTCAGGATTTGTCAACCTATTATAGTAGGTTTGTTTTATAATAATATAAAAATGTTAGCCTAGGTTTTACCTGTAACATGTCAGTAATGTCCCACTAGAAAAACTGGTCACCAAATGAAAGAAATATGAGGTGAAACCTGTTTTAAAGGCAGGGTAGGTGATTCGGTTCAAAAACATTTCTTGTTATGCTGGTTGAAAGTCTCTTCACATCCTGATAGCAATCATTAAGTTACATGGTCTAAATGTATTTTTATATTATAGGACCACAAAATATCTCAGTCCAAGGGCTACGAGATGCTGTCCTACCTGCCTGCTAACGTATATATTTGCATATCTCTGCACAGACATGATATGTCATCATTATGCTATTGCAAACCAGCAAGAATGGAAGGCGTTATTACTGTAATATTATGTGATTTGTACTGTAATGTTAAAATTACTACAGTTAAAATCTGTAAAATTGTGAAATATTTTTACTATTTAAAATAACTGCTTTCTATTTGAATATATTGTAGAATGTAATTCATTTCTGTGATCAAAGCTGAATTTTCAGCATCATTACTCCAGTCTTTAGCGTCACATGATCTTCAGAAATCATTCTAATATGCTGCTTTGCTGCTCGAGAAACATTTCTGATTACTATCAATGTTAAAAAAAAAAAAAGTTCAAAGAACAATGTTCATTTGAAATAGAAATGTTTTGTAACATTATAAATGTTTTACTGTCACTTTAAATCAATTTAATGCATCCCTGATGAATAAAAGTCTCAATGCCTAACTTCAGAAAACTGTACAGACCTCAAACGTTTGAACCGTAGTGTGAACAGAGTTTCACACTGACCTCGGCCTGCCCCAGAATGAGTTCGGCCCACGTCTTCCACTGAGGACACTTGTCTCTCTCGGCGAAGGTGGTCTCGTTGGAGTCCCAGCAGCACTGCTCGTGATTAAACCACATGGCACTGAGACACACGCCCTCCTTCAGATCGTTCATCCAGTCGGCCACGATGTCGATCACTCCGGCTAACGCTCCTGAGGGAACCAGGAAGAAGATCGGTGTTTATGCAGTTCACAATGTACTGAAGTAGAAGCCAATTTATATATATGTGACCCTGGACCACAAAACCAGTCATAGGGGTCAATTTTTAAAATTGAAATTTATACATCATCTGAAAGCTGACTAAATAAGTAATAAATAACAAATAAATAAATAACAAATCCATTGATTTGTTAGGATAGGACAATATTTGGCCGAGATACAACTATTTGAAAATCTGGAATCTGAGAGCCCTGCAGTGGACCGCGCTAAATTTGAATACAAGAACACCGTTTAAAACGGAGTAGAAAAGGTTTCTAAAAAATAATGAATAGAGCATAATATATAGGCTACAACGAGGTTTGATCTGGCCGCAGAGGAACACAACCGGGGGTTGCCTGATATGAAGAGACGTAATCCTGAAACAGAGCTTCGCACTTAGAAATATCTGCTAAATGTGTTACTTATCTTTGTCAACCTGGCAACAAATTGAAATTTATACATCATCTGAAAGCTGACTAAATAAGTAATAAATAACAAATAAATAAATAACAAATCCATTGATTTGTTAGGATAGGACAATATTTGGCCGAGATACAACTATTTGAAAATCTGGAATCTGAGGGTGCAAAAAAATCTAAATATTGAGAAAATCATCTTTAAAGTTGTCCAAA